CTTTCTCTCTGTCTCCCTCTCCTTCTCTCTCCAGATGTGGTCTATGAACAAGCATTACTAAAATTTTCATTGTGATTTTATCATAAATGCAATTTCAGTAGAGTTCTGTGTGTTCTAGGAAAGGAGTTCCAGGGATGACGTTCTCCCTTGGCTTTAGTATGTAGGTAACATCAGCAAAACTGCTACAGCACAAGTCCTTTTAACCCTCAGCTCCCCAGGCAGGAGGGGCAGGTGTCTGACCCATCTCCCTGGTAACACTGTGCATCTGGAATACATCAAAATGTTGACCTGAGAGATTTTGAAATACTTCCTGTACAAGGGATAGGTTCTATGTGGCAAGTGTGTCAGACCCTTGGTTCAACAGGTGAAGTTCCAGGTCTAACAGATTTCAGGCTTTAAGGTAATAGGATAAAAGTGGGAGCAGCTCAGCAGTGAGACCAGCAGAGAGGGCAGCTCCTGAAGGGAGGGCTCACTGCTTCCACTCCTCTGGCTCACCTGACAGAATACTCCAGTTGGCAGAAATGCAGGTTGTGGCCCTGCCAGCTGTGCCCTGGGAGTGCCCCTGATGTTCTCTGACCACTCCTGGGCACTCAGGCTCTCAGCCCAGAGCTTGGAGCTGGTCTGGAGGATCCCCCCCTCCACGTGTCTGGGCCTGGGGAGGCTGCACACACAGGCTCCTTTCCTTCTGCATGGTCAAAGCACTGAATGTGTGCAGGGCTGTTACAGCTGAAATCTCCAGTCTGGAGGGTTAGTCCAATCTAAACATCAGTGCAACGTGTCAGGTGTATTTTATTGATTCCTCTTTTCTCATTCTTAGACTGGTTCTTCCTGCACAGCACTTATTTCCAGTCTTTGTTCAATTTTGGATTTCAGTCCTAGCAGTGAATCTAATCAATACTTTTTCTTACCTGTGTGAATGACTCAGAGCAATGTCAGGCTGCCCCAGTTTTAAGTAACAGATGACAAGTTTTGACTCAATAAAACTGGCAACTCTGGAAATATCATCTGGAGAGGACTTCAAGGGATCCTCTGTAGCAAAGCCTCTACTGCAAAGCTGCATGTGAAACAAAACCATTATTTACAAACGTTACAATACACCATTTGCTAGGTGGAAATGCTTTTTGTGGAGAAAACTGCAGTACAATAGACTCTGGTTTTAACTAAAGGCAGCATTACAAAAATCAGCACAGAGTACAGAATTGTCTTTCAGGGATGTTCTGGTTTTTGCTCCTGAGGAGAGCTGGATTAAGAGGCTGCTGAGAAGCCCCAGCCCCACAATTCTGGGATGTCCCAATCACTCTGTCCACAATCCCAGGAAAGAATTCCTTAATCTCTAGTTACTCTTTCTCCAGCATGTCTATTTGCCAGCCCTTCCATTTCCTCTTAGGATGAGGCAAGACCTCCTTTCTTCTTAAGCAGCCAGTGGTTCTGTCCCCTCCACAGCTCATTTCTGAATACAGGGAGCAAAAAAGCACCTAAAAAGGATGACACCTGCTAATTTTGCTCATTGACTGCTATAATATTTCTTGCTTAAAAAAATTGGCTTCAGTATGGTAGAAAAAAAGAAGAAGGAATAGGATATTTGCTTGTGAACTGGAAAGCTCTAAGCTTTTACAAATGCTTTTGAATAAGGTTTAGCACAAAACAAGTGTAGTTGGCTCCTTTTTCAGGATGTCAGGTACCCAGCTGAAGGGATTGGGGTCAGAGTGGAGAGGAATTTTTAGAGACAGTGAAGAGTCCAGCTTGCAAGTCCTCTATTCTCATCCCCAACCATGTTCCTGTAAAGCAGAAAATGGCTCTGGTTTTTTCCTTTTCTCTTTGATTTGAGAGCTCCCAGGAGTGCTTTTAGCATCCTGTCTCATGGAAAAGGTGAAGCCCTTGTCTGCATGGTGAGTGTGAGCAGCCAGGTCTGTTGTGTGGCACCTTTCATGGTTTATGAGAGAGCTGTTCTCTGGGAGACACTGGTGGATGGAAGGGTGACCCACCTGCTGGGCTCTCCTGCACCTCCTTTCTCTCCTCTCCCCCCTGTAAAATTCATTGCAACCTTGCCAGAGGACATCCCTCTTTTCTCATATTACACTGATAAAACTCAAGCCTGGCCGAGATTTTTAAAAATGTCCAAGGTCTGTAGATTTTGGGGGGGGTTCATCCTGAAACTGGAAATCATGGAAATAACTACTGATGGAAGAACATGTCCACTTCAGACAGCTCAGAGGTGAGTCCATTGCACTTCTTTAGTACCTCAGGAAGTGTTCCCACAAGACTCAGTGTGTGGACTCTGAGCTGCTGAAGAGAACACCCCCAAAGTTCTGAGGGGTTGATCCCTCAGGTTGGGACCTGTCCTGTCTCAAGCAGAAAGAAAAGGATTCCTGCCCAGCTCCAGTGGCATCTTCTGTCTTCAGAGGGAAAAAAAGGAACAGAGGATGTGATGGAAATGCCATAAAGGGAAAAAAGGGACTCAAAGGGACCTGTGGTTCAAGCAAAATATTAAACATCTGACCCAGGTAGTGCAGGGACAGCTGGGGAAGAGTGGGAACTCCCCTGATTATCGAGAGGTCATTTGTTGCTGACAGAGCTGGGATTAAAGAGGGAAGAAGTTTTTCCCTTTTACGGGACTTCAATTTCTTCCACACACAAACACAGCCAAGGACTTGGAGAAAAACACAAAAGCACCTGAGATTCTTTGGTTTAAGTTGAGCCTCCACCTTCCTTCTTTTGTTGTTGTGGTTTTTTTTTTTTTTTTTTTGTTTTG